TTTCCAGTTCATCGTTAACCCTATCATTCGACGTTTCAGCTTCTAGATACTGAAGTTCTCACAGAGAGCACACAAAGAAAGGAAGTGCTGCTTAACATTATCAGAGATATTGTACTATTTTCTCCTTTCCCCCACCTCTATCATTCTTCCATCTTCCTCTTTTCCAGGTTCAGCGCTGAATTAGCCAACAGCCAAGAATTTCAATTACACAACCTTACGACCCGAGCTGAACATAGATACCCCTACTTAATATTTTATTCTGGGGTCTGCTCTCAGCAAAAGTGGCTCAAGAGCCATCGTATTCTTAATTGAAGACAGTTCCACTTGAAATACGAGTAACGAATTTAGGTACTAAGGACCAATCTCCGTTAAATTTCCGGTAGTTCTCGACATTATTAGATGTAATAATTGTTGGGGCACCAACATATGTTTATACTGCTGTAAGACAACAGAGGTCTTTGCGGTGCAAAATATATTGCTCAAATTATGCTCAGTGTCTCTGAAAGACGAGTTTGAACCAAACACACTTGTCTAGAAAAAAAGCTGTAATTCGGAAAATGCTTGAGTTGAATCTCGTTCGGAACGCCGGCTATCCTCAAAGAGGCTGTCATGGTTTTTCTCAGGCCCTTTAAGTATTTGTACATACAATGTCTCGATTAGGCCACTACATGTTTCTAAGAAACCATGAGGTTTATATTTATATAATTTGGCACACATGCAGTTGATGATTGTCTCTGTTTACTGAATTTTAATTGCAATAACTTACTTGTAAGTACTGTGAAGTGACGCTCAAAAGCCGGAATAGTGAAGTCAGAATAGACGTTCAATGCAAGGTAACGACTCAGTAAATATATTACCGATTCAACGAATATGCAAGCAGCAATCGAAGAACTGCCGTTTCTATGTAACCGTGAGGTCAACACACCTCTGTAACAACAGACGAATTGTTATGACAAGGTGTTTTCTGTAGCGGCCGACCCGAGGCTATATAACGGGGATTACAGGCCAGCTAGAATCAGAATTGAGAGAGTCTGGATATGGCAGTCGAATGATGGACGAGAGGTGGCAAGAAAGGAATTAGGTTGTGGAAAGAAGACTTCATGCTTGCTGCTGTTACAGTGAGACTCTACGAATCCGCTGCTAGGATACGACTAGCGAAGACTGAGGACACTTGTGCGTGTGTCTGTAACGGTTGGCTGTAAAGTATATAGCTCAGCGATAGCGCTATAATTAATTGTAATTTTGAGTCCTGTGTATAAGGTGTCAATAAATCTAATCATCCAATCCCAAATCCCGTGTATAGTCACGTACACCTCCAAACACGTTACATTGTGTGGTTAATAATAATATTTTTGAAATGAAGATGTAGATAGATTAATTATTAAAAATAAGTTTATAATTAATCATGCACATACACGAAATCTGAGCAATATATGCACCAAATTTCGTAACTATCCATTATATAGTTACTTAATAATAAGCATGAAAATTTCATAAAACTAACATTACAAAGATAGGGCTTCCAACTTCCTCTTAAAGTACAATGCGATTCTAAAGTATCGTCGGTGTGTCCCGTGGCCTATAAACGGAAGACCCAACAGTAATTTACAATCACTCTGTAGTTCTGTCAATTTTCTTAGGTTTTATTAACTGTGACATTCGGATGTCTTAGAATGAATGTGACCTGTTTTGAACTACAGCTTGATGTATGCATGAACTAACCTCATTACTCTGAGGCTGTCTTGAGAAGCTGGTTGTTACTTAGATGCTCTGTAATTTCCCGGACTTGAATGGAAATAGAAGTTTTATTTTACTGTGTTCTCACATAAAATAGCCATTGGATCACATCTTGAGCCAGATGTTTCGAATCTATTTTTCAGACACTTTACTCTATTAGCGGCTGTTGACTTGGCACATAAATAATAAAGAATTGAATTGAATTATTCTCATGTCTGCACCTAATCATCCCCTAGGTTTTCATCTCATGAGGCTTTACTCTTATAATGTATTAATAAGTTCACATTTTCCTTTGCGTGCTACACTTCCCGTCCGCTTAGCCCCCATTAAATATTTCAATATATATGTCATTTTTATTTTCGTTTAACAAATACCATTACGGTCCGGGATAGCTCAGTCAGTATAGCGATGGACTACAGCCCGGATGGTCCTATTTCGATTTCCGGCATGGGCAACATATTTTTCTTTTTCCCCCCACCCTCTAGACATCTTGAAGGGCCCACCCAATGTTCTGTACAGTGGGTACGGGGGGTCGTTTCCGCGAGGTTACCACTCGCCTCCATCCAGTGTTGAGGTCAATAACGTTGGAGCTATACCTTCACTCTCCCGTACGTTTTCGTGGTTTGTGTTTAATTAATTAAGCACAGGGACAATTTGACCTTTTACCGTTACTAAATACCATGGTCAGCATTCAATATTGCGTGTATTTTTCCATTCGACTGCAATCCTATTTGACTTGCGGGGCTGTAAAAACCACGAAATATAGGTATCCGGTATTTCTGACGAAGATAGCGGAACGGATCTCTGGACTCTAAATGGGGAAGCTAAACCACTTCATGAGTTCGTTCAGTCTGTCCAATTTATTTTTGACCGATGAATTTGATGGAGGTATTGGATCCGGGAGCACTGTGAAATCCGAGGCACTCGTGTTACGTGTCCATTCGTAGGAATTTTAAAATTCCAATATTTTAACCGCAGCACTCGAAACACAAGGCCGAATTCCTATAGTTACTGTCATATCGATTAATTTACTCTTAAAGGTATGCTTATTCACGCCATTACAGCTGCTTCAATATACTCCGCACATATGAAGTTGTCCCTGTGCTTAACTACCGTATTTACGCATGTATAGGCCGCACATTTTTTGCCAAAAATTCAAGAGGAAAACTGGGGTGCGGCTCATATTCGAAATATTCGAAATCACACTTCATTTAAAAAAAAATTAAACGTTGCCAAATTTCGGAATAATTTCTACTCCTGAAATAATATTCCAAGAAAATTATTTTTTCTAAAATTTCTGTCTGAAAATTGTGTTGCGGCCTATACACGCACGCGGCCTATACATGCGTAAATACGGTAATTAAGCACAACACCATGAAAACGTATGGTGAATGGAGATATATCTCCATTTTTAACCCCAACACAAGATAGAGGTAAGTGGTCAGCTTCACACCATAGCTGCTTCAACCCCCGGGGAAAAATCTCCTGGTACCCGTTGGATAGTAGGCTGGCTGGGTCCAAGAGCCCATCTGGACGCCGTGGAGAAGAGAAAAGTGTGTTCCCGGTCCGGGAATTGAAATCTGGCCGTTGAGCCTGTAGCCCATCGCTTTATTGACTGAGCTATTCCGGCTGATACAGTTTAAATATTTGATACATTGAAGGATGAATTCTGAAAGTAAAACTGAGATTTTCATGACCGTGAATATCCATACTTCGGTATTCTGTGTTATAACACAATGTACGATGCAGTTGATATGTCGTTATTTAACAATGCTGCCAGTAACTTAGACTATATAGCTTCGATTGATTCGATGATAGTAATTGGAAAGTACTGAAGGAAACTGCCATGTCCCAGTCGAATGAATTGTCCTTGTAAATTTGTTAAAGGGCCCGAAAAGCATAACGAAAACTGTCAGTCTTGGTGATGTCCCGGCCGGGTTTCGAACCACTTATCCCTTAGTTATGTCAGAAAATATATCGCATGAGCTACCTTTCACGGAGACGCTGTGATATAGTCTGGCAGGTACGTACCGACGTTTCGGAGGAGCGTATACCCTCAACAGTGAACTTGAAATCAGTGTATTCTTGCGAAAATTTGTTACCAACCCACCAGACTACAACGTAGTGTTCGAACTCAGAATACCACCATATCGATCTCAATGAAATAAGCGCCAAACGTAGAAAATTTCGACAATTGCAGAAGTTGCTATATCTGAAAGCGTGTGACATCTTTTGGACTTTTATTTGAATTACATAGTAAAGAAATGATTGAAAGAATATATCCGAACAGTTCATATTTAGAAAGCAGTCTTCTGGGATTTGGCACCGTGTATATGTGGTGTTAACCGACGTTTCGGAGGAACGTATCGCCTCCATCTTCAGGGTAGAAGAAAAAATATAAGAAATCTGCAAGCGAAGAGACCGTGAGAAACGGTAAAAGTAGTCCCCTGAAGATGGAGGCGATACGTTCCTCCGAAACGTCGGTTAACACCACATATACACGGTGCAAAATCCCAGAAGACTGCTTTCTTCATAGTCACCGCCGTGAAAGCCTCAAATCTTACAGAGTTGATATTTACTTCGCATTTTTATATTACGTTATAAACGGTAACGATCTATACCCCTTGTCGGTTCCAGTCTCAGACGGAACATCGGCCATCCTCACTGACTTCTTTCTTTGTAGTTTTCCTGAGTTCCTTCACAAATACAGGCGCAGCACCTACATTAGACCGCACCCACCTCCTTCCAAATACATTCGAATTGATCCTTCACCTGCTATGCTGTTATGCTAGGTACTGGTGTCGTTATGTACGTCACAGAAGAAACTTCTGAAATACATAGTCAAGATCGATTTAGAAGGAATTTTCCCCTACATTTTATGTTGATAGGGAGATCTTATGTGTTATGCAGAGTGAAGGCATGTTATTTACCCATACAGGAAGATCAGCTCTGACAACCTAAAATGTCGGATTAACTTTTCAAATCCTTTACTTCTAGTGTTAAAAGATAAGTACATTTCATTGGGATTCTTATATATCACTTTTACTCGGAGGTGTCCGTTGGAGACTCCGTATTTTTTCCACCTTTTCTATCGTTCCACTATAAACCTTGTGACTTCATGCACTTCCTCTTAGTATATTTAGAGCATGTTGCAAGTAATTTAAATGTAATTTTGGTACGCAAGGTGGAAAATATTTTTCCTCTAGCGGCTACAGTCTGCAGTGTGAACCTAATTGTCTCTTCACTCTCTCGTATGCTTACAGGAGCCTTATAGAGGTCAGGTGGAATGAGGAGACCTTACACTTCTCCAGAAGGGCCGCTAAGGTTCTCATGTCGGTAAGTACGTTTCATCGAGAATATATATGAAAGTTTCCGTACATTTCCCAAGTTCATCTTGAATTAAACTGCATTCAAATAATGAAATTGCTTCTGGATAGGAGGGAGGTTATGGTTTACGACTTTTTCACTCTTTCGGACTGTATAGCGACAAATAGTGAGAGGATTGATGGGTGATTGACTTGAACTGACTTGAAGGGAAGTGGTCGTGGTCTATTCAGGATAATATCCTGGCACTTACATACAGGAACTGAGTAAAACTATGAAAATATTCAGGATGGACAGTGTTTCCGTATCTCCTGGACACTAGTTTCAACTGTTAACCAACTTACTCTGTCAAATTACCTATACTGAGTGTCCCAGGAGGAAAGTTCAGTATTCTGGGAGGTCATAGTATCGGTCATTCTAAGCGAAAAAAGTGTAAATGTACATGTGACCTATTCTGAACAGTTTCTGAGAGAAATATTTAACTGNGAGCTGTTTCACTGTACTGTACATTGTACAGGCACGCCATGTCCTCCCACGAGCTGCAAAGTGCATTGATGTTGGCGGTGGAATTTTCGCAAATGTATTTTACTAGGCAGACTGTACAAACTTCATCATTTGAAANCTCACACGAGTTACAAAGTGCATTGATGTTGACGGTGGAATTTTCGCAAAGGTAAACTCTACCAACTTCATCATTGGAACGATAAATACCGGTATTAGAAACAGTACGTAATATCTCTCTCTTATCAACAGTTTTGGAACTGTACAGTGAAACAGTTCTATCTCGGAAACCGATCGGAATAGGAAACGTACATATATACATATTTGTTTAGAATGACCGATACTATGACCTCCCAGAATTTTGACCTTTCCTCTTGGGACATTCTGTATATAATGATCGACTTACNACTTAACGGGCAATTTCCTTTAATAAATCGCCACTAAAAAGCAAATAAAATGCAAAGGAATTTCCGTTGCTATTTTTAAACTGAAATCCTTGCTGTTCCTGAGAGACGTGCTGTACCTCGTTCACGGAATTGGAATCGTCAGAGGCAGGTTACTTGTTGGGCCATCTCTCACACTTCTGTCATTATGGGGGTGAGAGAACAGTTGTACCTGGTACAAGGGTCGTTTTAGTCACGTGACACTACATGCTCTGAGGTCTGCCTCACCCCCTGCACACCCTCTCGCTGTACCGTTGTGTATGATCCGTATTGTGGGCCCCTAAACCTAACTTACTACACGTGCAGTAGCACCCATAAGATTATATGGATTGTGAGCTTCTGCGTAGCGTTGCAAAGCGCTGATGTAGTTCTGAGGTCTGGTGCATCTTGACAACTTCCAGTGCCCTGACGGCTTTTCATCGTAGTTCTTTATGGGTTGAGCCTCAAAATCTGATCCATTCCGTTGGGAAGTTCTGTCAGTATTCTTATTTATTTAACGACGTTTTGAGTAAACTCTACAGCGTCGAATGGTAGGAGCAAGGGATTTTAAAGGAAGCGGCCTTAGACTAATCAGATACTATCCCGGAATATGCATGGAGGAACTGAAGATAACCACAAAAATTCCAGCCAGTATTGCCAGGGTACCACACCATATTCGAAGCCAGCATTTCCAAGAAAACAAGCCTACAATGTTACCACTACGTGAACCATTTTATTGATGTATATATAACTAACGATTTTTCTTTTTAGATTTGAGTTACTGACGGTGGTGATTTTGATGGGTAATCACGTGGAATGTGACGCAGTGTAGTCTGGTAGAAGATACATTTCTAAAGACTACACGGGGCCACATAGTAGAAGATAGTATTTTTCATAACAGCTTGTTCTCCCACTTTTTATTATTTTGAAGAAATGAAAGTAGGCTTATGCGATCTCCATACTGTCTGTTTGTCTGTGTATATGTGTATCCCCACATGTTAACGTTAGAATGCCTAAACCAATCTCTATGAAACTCGGTATGTATACTGTGGCACTTGACTGATCTCAGCGGCGCACTTCATAAATCCCTCCCGTCAGTCTGTGTGTCTGTATGTATATCCCTCCTATCGTTGTTAAGCAAATGCTCGGTGAAGTGTATCCTTCCGTTCATTGCTAGGCAATGGCTCAGCAATCCCGCGGAAACAAATACACGATATAATAGGAGAATTCTTGAATATATATTTTGTAATTCATTACTTACTGTCAATTTATCAGGTGACGCTATGTAGTTTAGTGTTTTTTCTTTGGTTTCTTGGGGTGGGGCAAGCTGAGTCCACTTGATACGTCGGCCACTATTCGCCTATTGTACTAGTTCCGAATGATGAATGATGACTGTGGAGCAGTCGGTGGAATGAGAATTGGTAGGGGAAACCGAAGTACTCGGAGGAAAGCTGACCCAATGCCACTTTGTCCACCACAAATCCCAGATGACCTTACATGGGCTCAAACCCGGGCCTCCACGGTGGGAAGCCGCCTGAGATATGGGCGGCCCTTGACACTATGTAAGTTTGAAGGAGTTACCATATATTCATGAAATAAAACACGAATAAACAGAAATATGAAGAATTATGTCTTCTGGGATACAAGGACTCGTAGTCAGGCGAAAGTCAATGGACTACATGACGTTATACCCTGGGAGATAGGCCACTTCATAACCACCCGTGTGAAAACCAAAATTCCTACAAAGATGAATGAGTTGGATTTTAGGTTCTCGCAATATTGTCTATGAAGTTTACGGTCTTTTGGATTCTAGGACGGTATAGTTCCTAAGGAGGACGGAGCTGGAGAAACGCATCGCCTCTATTGGTAAGGTGGAAGCACTTGACTAAGCATGATACCGACAGAAACAGGCTGCGCGCTTCTTAGATGACTGCCTATTTCTGTTCGTCTCTTGCTTGGCTTAGTCCAGAATTATATACTGTATGTGTATACTTATGCATAAATTTCTCTGAAAGGCATATACCGTGGTCTGAAGATATTAACTTCTAAGTATGTTGCTGAACATACTGTGTATAATTAACAACAATTGTATAGAGAGGCTGTGAAAACGTATGGGAAGTGGAAGAATAGCTCCACTATTTTTTACCTCTGCACTAGATAAGGTGAATGCTCAGTTTCACGCTCCGGTCCCTTTATCCCAAGGGAAGAGCACCCAGTACCAATTCAGTGAGATGTTCGTGGGTTCCAGAGCTTGTCTGCACGCTGCCGGAAATCGAACCCCGGTTTCTCGGTCACCCATCCCGTAGCCCATGGAAGATACACGTTACATTGGCAGAGAGGTGTAAATATTTGTAGACGTGAAAGAGACTGTACATCGTAACAGTCCGTTGTTAAACGACGTACAGTCACTCACAAATATGTAAAATTTAATACTTAAACATTTTAAGCTTTAAGCTAATAAATAGTTGCACATAAGACTGTAAAATAAGATTTATAATAAAGTGGAAGATTGCAACAGGATGCTACAGTACAGTATTATGTAAAATGAAGTGAACTGTAAATTCTAGTGCGATTCTGATTCTGATATGTAGACATCTCATAACTCGTTACGGCCTGAGGTAGCAGTAATTGCAGAGAACAAGGTGAGTCTGTGCTTTGTGTTCAATGGTTTTATCTCCTCCCCATGTAAGAGACGTGGGTTCAGTCCGTTTGTCTAAACTTGTTAGCAAAAGAGTCGGAGAGAATAAAACAAACTTGAAAGTAGGGCATTACACTGTGAGCATACGTAATGAAGGTGATGTGTTGTGGCCTTAAGCCAGTTTCATTTCTGCATTTCCACTGTTATAACGTAATTCTCAGACATAACAGCTAGCACTAGTTGCCGAGTTGCCCCTACATCCCAAGAAGCATTACTAAAAATATAGAAAGTCCTGTTTAATGTTTCCTCCATTCTCTCAATCAGTATAGTGACTAGACTACGGGATGGACATCAGAGGGGTTGGGGTTCGATTCCCGGCAAGAGTAGACTAGCGTTTGCTAGTGCTGCTGTGTTACTTGCTGCTCGTTTGCTGGCGTGTTTTTCAACGCTAAAATGGAGGAAATAGTCTGTGAAATTCTACCGGATCACATGGCTTCACATCACAGAATATAGAAGTCTTGATAGTAAATTCTGTGAGTAACTGAAATTCAAAATCCCGATTAACGAGGAAGTAAAAAATTGTTATAAAACATGAATTTATTAATATCCTGGACGCAACCCCTTGTTGCCTGGTAGGAATTTACTGACGTTTCGGATATACATACTACCTCTCTCTTGAGAGCAGAAAATTCTTGTATCCTCAGACTGAGGTATCCACTTTCTCCGAAATATCCACCCAAGTCTACCAGACTATATGCTGTCATATCCCAGAAGATACTTCGTTTCATTGTACTTCCGAAATTAATTTTACATAATTTTAAGCCGGACACGCGGTAGCGTAGTTGGTTGAGGCACTGTGCTACAAGGCGGAAGGTCGCAGGTTCAAGTCCCGATGAGGTCATTGGATTTTTTCAATTGACCTAATCCTTCCAGCCGCACAATGGTCCTGGGGTCGACTCAGTCTCTAACAGAAATGAGTACCAGGAATTAAATAAATAATTTTCCTGGGGAGTAAAGCGCGGCCGGCGCGTAAGGCTGACAACTTTACCGCCATCTTTGAGCCGATTGTCTAGATAATGTGGGACCCTCAACGTCTCACAACCCAATGGGCCTTCATGGCCTGTTACAGGGATAGCTATGCTTTTACATAATTTCAAGCCTTTTGAAACCATACTTTAAATTTGATCTCATATTTGAGACCTTGAAACATATGGTTCGATTTAATGGATATGAGGTTCTGGCTGCAGATGCAATTAAGGGAACTACGTGCATCTCCTGGCTTGTAACGCTGTCTGGTTCTTGCTGGTTACTTGCTTGGCAACAAGCAGAAGTCGTACAGAATCATGAGAATGAACATGTTCGCAGCATAGGACAAGGCGAAACCAGACATAGACGCTTATATTTGGCTGTGGTCAAGCCTATGACTGTTCAAATGATTAAGCTGCCGTTAT